GGAAGGGTAGTTTCTGTAATGAAATTGCCAAAAAATAAAAACCAAAACTCAAATGGTAGTTTCCATTTCCCTTTCCATTATCCCAATCTAACCCCTACATAATCCCTAGAATCCCTGTAGTTTCCACTTTCTTTTTGATTCTGCCAATATGACCCCTATATAACCCCATAATCTCTGTAGTTTCCATTTTCTTTTTCATTCTCCCAATATATGTTGATAAAACCAGGCTTGGCTGACTCATGTGGCAGACCCAGAGGCTGCCCAGGCCTTTCGAAAGCAGTCGGGGCCCCAGCTTGTCTTGGTTGCTATACACTTATTATGGTAACTTAGCTTAAGTTCCTTTAGAGCAACCCAGTGGGTTTTAAACAGTGTTGGCCTTACCTTGCCCGGAACTTATCTGGAGCCCCATATGGCTGCCTTATAGAGGTTACTAGTCTTTAGTGAGGCTCCCCGTTTTAAGGCGATGAGTATTCAGGCCAATTGAACTTGTTATTGTAAGAAGGCTCCAGATCAGAGCCAAACACCTCGGCAGAAAAGAATGGGAAAACACTTGCGGAATTAGGAAGAGTGAGCCTTGAGGCTTACAGACCGTTTGGCCTCTGCCAATATTCAGAACACGTTGGGGCACATCAGCAAAGATAGCTTCTGTTATCTGGTAGGATTGCATCAATGGATGGCAAGAAGCAACATCACATGGTAGTTGCCCTAAATAGGTGGGGGACCCAACATAGACCCCTAAGCAACAAGAATCCGTGTTATAGGGACCCTCACAAAGGTCCGCTAATTTTGGGAAACACGAAGCCCCAAAACCTATATATCCCTATATACCCCCCCCCATTAACCCCTTTTACCTATATATCCCAATATACCCCCCCCCCCATTAACCCCTTTTCAAGGTACCCTGAACCCCGACATGAAAGAGTCGTTTTGGGGCCAACAAGGCTGCAGGAGGCTCACGACAATCAGTAAACTAAGACCCTCCTAATACTGTACCTTTAATTGAGGATATGTGGCTACTTGTGGGTACTGGAGGATAGGAAGAGGGTGGAGGAACTGAAATGTGGCACCTTGGCACTTCGCATTCTTGTGGTTGATCAGGCTTGTGGCGCGGCATGGTCACATCCTCAAGGCACCAGGGACCTGCGATAGGAATGAAGTCAACAGGACGCATGCCAACACCAGAGCTGCTTTCATTCTATCATTTTTCCCCTGCACAAAGTAAAGGAGACCGAAACCACTTCAATTCCATTGCTTGCCCTTGCCCAAATAATGGGCCACATGACGGAACTCTCAAAACCATATTCCTGGCATCATCTTCAATGATGTTCTCAAAAAGGCGCCACGGTGGACATCATCTACAAGACTATTTCCCTAAGTTAGCTTTGCTTCCTTGTGTTGCAGCACCGCGAAACGTCGTTGTCACTACACCATCTGTTCCCCTCGGCAAGGAGCACAAAGCAACCCGCCCACGTCCCGCAGCGCGAAAAGAAAAAGCCTCCCGCCTGCCTCCCGCACCTTCGCTGTGGTGTATGTACCTTTGGTGCCCTTTTCTGATAGTCTAAGATGTTTTGCTTCAATTCTTCGGCTTGTTCGTTCACCGTCGGAAAAGCCAAATTTGAAACACGGCTTGTTTTCTTCTTGCGACAGCACGACGACTTGTCATTGTTTTCTCTAGTTCAGAATTTTCTCTATTCATCTAACGCATCCAGTCGTGTCTACAATGCCGTTATCCCCGGGTTGAAAGGCGATTGCCCCCTCCAAGTGAAAATGCAATGTAACGTTATGACAAGACTAGGACTTGGAGCTGCAACAAGACGCAAGCTGCTTGGATAGGCCTGGCGCTTCGCCATGGACAAGGATTGCTCAAACAGCCTCTTGGACCCCGCTTGTCAGGGGGAGTGGATGGCGGTATATCATGAACCAGTTGGAAGTCAGTCTGGCCTATGGTGTTAACTATTGTCATCCAAAATCCTAATCGGTCAAAACCCTAGAAACCTTCAATCAGCATCATAGGCTGCAACTGGCACGAGTTCCAAGAAGCTGCCTGGCTGGAGTCAAGGTTGAGAAATTTATGCGCAAAGCCTGTACTTGTGTTCACTCAAGGCGGTTGCAAGTTATTTTCTAGCCCACTTTTGCGCTTCGTGTGTGTTCTTATCCTGTTCAGGGCATTTGCTCAAGCTGGCTCATGCCTGAAGAGTACTCGCTGATGTTGCTAGTACTTCTGTACTTCACAGCGGTAGTACCCGGTAGTAGTTGTGCACTACAGCGTTTGCTTTCCCCACCCTCCCGCCCTGTGCGGGGGCTTTGGCTTCTTTGTACCTACTCTGAGCTTGGTACCTTATGCTTGGGAGCTTCATGTGCCTTGTATGCTGGTAGCTGTTGGTGTAAGTAGCTTGCGGATTAATGCGAGCCAATGGTCCAGCAAGTACTGAAGTCGCAAAGATCTGTGTAAGCTCGGCGGCACAATTGTTGAGATCATAGCTTTTTGTAATGAAGCACCCTGTTGCGGATTACGCTGGGTCTCGCATTTGCAAAAGGGCGACAGTTGAACACGCAAAACGGACATGCCACGGGTTTTTAGCCATGTGGCGGCATTGCCATGATCCCCGTCCGAGGCAGCGAAACTGGTGCGCTTTCACGGCAACCTGGCTGGTGCATGGCTGGCTTTGGATGCAGATGCTCGGCTAAGCTAAGACATACCACCCACCAACCCCTCTCGAACAAGATTAGTTGAGTGCAGCAAAATATGAACCGACACAGTCAGCGACTCGCGAAAGCAAAGGATTGCAGCGGCAGCATATCGCTGAAGGCGCGCGGGTTATGGCAGAGACCGGGCTGGCATGAAACAGAGGGACGACGGGGGTGTCGCAGCTTGTCGGTGTGTTCATAGTACGGTAGTACTTGCAGAGTATCCTTGGCCGATGCAGGCCTTGCGAGTCTGTGTCTGTGCTTTATCATTTTCCGGCCCCCTGCCAGGAGATTGATCCAGCCCCTTGGCTGCAGGTTTTGTTTGCAGCTACATGCCCGCAATTCCCAAGTTCTTGTACCAGCTTTAGCCAGTCAGCTTCTGATTCCAAGCGACCACCCAGGAAGCTCATGAATGCCTGACCGCCTTCAAGACTTGGGCTGATGCAGAATTCAGCGGTGTACGGTCAGCGTTCAAGGCCTGTCCCTGCCAAACCCTGTGCTCACATTAGTCTCATGTAGCCCACATGGAACAACCCACACCAGTCTTCTCGGGCTCACGTGCTAATCCAACTTGGACTGCATTTCTCCACACCAGCAGGTCCTGGACGCAGATGGTTCCGGCTCGTTGAACTTTCGCGAGTTCAAAAGCGCTGTCAGGACCTCTTTGTTCTGCAAGTTGAGACATGAACGAAGCAGAGTCCACGACAACCGACGTGAATGAGTTTCAGCACATGAACTACATGCATAGCAGAGTCCAGGACAAGCCTGTCTAGTCGAGTGTTGTATGACCTCTGGCCATTCGCCAGGATGTATGGCTTCACTGGTGACTGCAAGCTGACTGCACACTGTCAAGGTGGCTGTTGCGTTGACCAGAAACTGCTCTGCTGAGGCAAGCTCTTGTTCCAGTGCTTGGACCAGATGGGCAAAGGAAGTCTGCAGATGCACGAGGTATCTTTTCTGGACAACTGGACCAACGAAGACGCTTGGCAAGAGCCGAGCCTTATCAAGGAGACGTGAAGGTATGCTCAGGTGGAAATCTGTAGCCATTCTAGGACAATTGCAAGGCAAGCCAGGCCCGAGATGGACACATAAAAAGCTGGAAGGCGACTGTACAGTGAAGAGTTGAATTTGAGGAGCCTCCCTGGCCGTACATTCTGGGCACCATTCTGCAGACATTGAAGGTTGTAAGCCCGTTCCTGAAACCTGGAGAAGAGGTTGTACTTGCTCGGGTCCATCTGCGCATTCGAGAGCATGCAGCTACAGCCTACAAAGCTCTGCCAGTTGTGCATGCCATGGAAAGATATGAAAATGCTAAAGGAGTTAAACGCCGTCTTGGTAGAAGTGCTTCCTGTCTCCATCTTCACAGCAGTGGTGTCTACTGTGGGAACTTGATGCGCTTGTATCGAGACAGGTTTGCCAGCTCCAAACGCTCTTAGTAGCTCAGGGCTGTACTCTGCGATTCGGCTGATGCAATTGGAGCCAGGTATGTAAGCACTTTCAACAGCTTGGGGTGACCTGAAAGACATCTTGTGGAGACTTGCTTTCAGGATCTAGTGGCGGAGACTCTCGGCCGAAATGGGGGTTTACCAAAATTAGGGGTACCATTTTGGGGGTCCCAATAGTCAGGACTATAGTATATTGGGGTCTCTATTGGGGTCCCCTTATTTTGGGAAACTACCAAATGGCTTTACTAAGTGCTTCAGACTTTGGGGCTTCTTCGCAGCGAGGTCTGAGCTGGGTTCTCTGGATGATGGCGCTTCCTCACGGAGGCCCAGAGCCTGCAGCTAACAGTTCACCTGCCCAAGATGGGATTTGTTACTAGTAAAAGTAGTCCTTGGTTATTTACTATTACTGTTACTATTACTCTTACTGTTACTATACTTCTTACCATTAGGATTATCAGTACATATCATTACTACTACTGTCAGGGCTGGAGGGTTGGTTTGGAATGAAGATGAAAACGCCAAAGGCTGTCCAGGCTGTTCGAGGTTTGGGCCCCTGTAATCCGTAGGCCGTAGGGATTTATGAGCTATAAACTCCTTAAGGAGCGTCTTATAGTGTTTGGGGATTAGGGTCTAAACTTCTTAAGGGGGGGTGCATAGGGGAGTATCATAGGCTAGGGGTTACTAAGGGGGATACTAGGAGTTAAGACTACAGCTCATATGCATGGCAGCGGCAACAGCCAAAGTGACTGCCAGCTTTAATGCAGTCCAGGCGTTTTGGCGAAAATGGAGACCGACTATTGGAGTATTACACGGAGCCTTGGCTGGCATTGTGATTGTAGTCACCATGGTGATGTCTTTGAGGGGAATAGTACCAACGCGAATCATTGGCGGCTACAAACCACGGCTTCAAGCCACCATGACAAGAAGCACTCACATGGGCCGAAGAGCAGTGTTGTCCGAACGACATGAAGCCGCGTGCGACAGTTTACAGTCGTGTCTGATGAAGTGTTGTTGAAACTGAACCTGTAAACACCAGATCCACACAACCCGCCGCCCAGATACTTTGACTGCTTACCGCCTCTTTTCATACTTCGGAGGTTGAGTTGACAAAAAAGTCCCGCAGGAAAATCCTGGTCCGGGAACCTATGCCATGCCGGGGGGCTTTGGCGCATCGGACCGGAGCCCTGGCAGGCGCTGGAGATAGGGAAGGTACAACATGATTCCTGACAGCTCACCGATCTCTGTAATCATGCGAATGTCAGCCCATATGAGCTGAAGTCTAAATTCTTAACTCCTAAAGTGCGGTTACATAGCCGGATACTGGGAGTCTAGACTATAGCTCAGGTGTGTTTAGTTATTGTTGTTTCATTTGCTGCTCGTCTCGCGTTGCAACTTTGAAGCCTCGGGGTGCCGGCGGCAATGCATGTTGGCTGGGCTCAGGCTAAGGGAGGATAGAGAAATGCACGATTCTGCGTTGAGCGGCAAGCCTGACACAGGTACTGCGGTGCCTTCACCATGCAGGGTAGATACAGCTCGAAGGAGCACCGTCAGAATCTCCAGAAGCAAGTAAGCTTTTTGGCTGCATGTTGATTTTATTTTGAGACTGAAACACACCTCCTTCCCATCTCGTTCAGAGTTGTAGACGGCAGCAGGAATACAGCATTTTGACATTGAAGGGTCCCAGGCTTGCTTGCACATGTAGACCTTCGGGATGCAGGAAAAGAGTAGATTGAAGGCCCCCAGTCCACCATGTGGCCCGCATTAGAACGACTTCCTGGAAAGGAGGGTATGGATTTTAGAGGCGACCCTAAGGCAAAGCCCAAGACGCCTAAGAACTTCTACAGGGCTTCTAGCCCTGCATTATGTATTTAGCCCCACAGAGAAGATGACAGCTCACACAGGTCCAGCGCAGTACTCCCCCTGTATCGAGCCGACCTCTCCGAGAAAGCCAGTCCCTGACTTAAGTGGGGTTTTGGGTGAGACAGGCATCATGCGCAGCTGTGATGATATGTATTGGATTCGAAGTTTGCTGTAGGAGGACTAACTGTGCTTGCTCAAAATGGTAGGCGTAAATGGGTTCATTTCAACCCTTTCCGATGCAGTAGGGTTTCAGAGTGGCAAATGATGGGTTATTGCAGCTTAAGACGCGTGGTTTCTGGAACCAAAGAGAACAAGCTTCAGGGCTAGCGGCTTCGAGCTTCAGGCAGCCCAGTTCAGGGCTAAGAGCAAAAAACTTCAGCATACAATGTCATCCAGGTTTCTCTTGATTTTTGGGCGCTAGGTTTTCAAGCCACGCCTGCCACGAATCTCATGAAGACTGTGCCTCCAATAATGCGGGCCTTGAGAGACGGTTGTACCAGGCGTAAGGCGTAAGGCTTCTGCAGCATGCAGACGCACAGGCCTCAAATGCATAAACATGGAGCCCGTAATACAGCGCTGTTGCTGCTGCTGCTGCCGCCAATCAGCTGTCCCATGTATAAACGTCAGCATTTAGTGAAGTGTTACGGATGTGTCAGCAGTTTCAATGTGCATGGGCTTTTCGATGCCTTTGCCTGAGGTGAGGGGCCTTTGCTATTGCCATAGATCATAAGCTTTGTTCTTGATGCTGCTGCGTCCCAACGATGTTGATCTTTTTAGTTTTGCATGGGCCTGGCAAGGCTTGGACCTTTAGCAGACGACCGAAGTCTGCACAGAAAGGACAAGCTCCTCGTGTGCGCCAGGGACGCAGATCGCAGAGAATCACCCATCTGTACCTGCAGTAGCAGTACGAGCGAGATGCAGTAGGAGCAGCCACAGCTCTCGTAGTAGCAGTAGGAGGAGGCGGGGTTAGTACCAGTAGCGTGTTAGTGATAGTAGACGTCCAGTAATACTTATAGAGACATGAGTACTATGAGTCGGCAGTGCTGCGGCAGGTTCATGCCGGTAGAACAAGAAGATTATCAGGAGAATAATGGTGCCGACACTCTTCCCGCCAAAAGGTAATCGAAACCAGATAAGTCTCGCATTGACTTGCCCTGCACGCTTGACCCACTTATATTATAGTATAAGATAGTTTATTGTAGTATATTATGGTATATTCGAGTAGATCATAGTATATTACAAAATTTTTCCCGACACTGACTCACGCAGCTTGGGCTCCAGCCAGTGGCCCGGTGAGAGCTGGACGCGGCCGCGCGGCAGGACTCACAGAGACATCTGGAAAGATAAGCATGCAAGTCCTGGACACCAGAAAGAAACAAGGGAACGGCCGAGCCTGACAAGTTATATTATACTATATTATAGTATATTATGCTATAATTAATATATAGTGTAATATACTATAATATCGTATATTATATTATAATATGAGGATGGAAGCCCCGCTCGACCCTGGCATCTCGCTCTTGCCGCATGGCTGAAGATTGAATGTCAAGCTGGCCAGACTGGTAACAAGCCTGGCGAGCCGATCTTATGTCAAACATAATATATTACATTAAGTATATTATAGTATGATATACTATATTGTAGTATATTACAGTATATCATAGTATAATATACTATGTATACTGTATTCATCTGTAAATTTAGTAGAATCTAGTGTAATATAGGACCCCGTTGCACAACGTGTCCCTTCTACTGTAGGTCCGATGACAGCAACCCGGCTTGCTGCAGCCCCGGGCTAGCGGCACTTTTCGATCTCAACGTGTTCTGCTGAACTCCGAGGCAGGCCACCTCCAGATGTCGAAGCTGAGCGGCACTTGTTGCATGAAGCAGGTGATGTCTTCCGACTGATGGAATCTAGTCATGTACTAAAAAAGGTGGCCCAAGGCGATCAAAGCACCTCAAACACGCGTCAACTTTGAGCAACACGACACGAAGCTTTCCTGTTAAACATGGCTCAAAAAGGCTTTTTCTTGGAAGAGGTGCCCGGCAACCTGTAGGTACAGAACATCTGCAGTAGGCATACATTAACATCGGGGAACAGCCTGCAGCCTGGCACTGAAGACGTGAGAAGCGCGCTGCCTGCCTTCCGCGGCTATGGAGAGATTCCTCGAGATTATTGATGAACTGCACGAGCGGCAGCTTCAAGTGGCAGAAGAGCAACACGCGAAGCTGCGGCAAGCAGTACTGGACCATCTTCAAGGCCTGCTCCCAAAGCATTTCTTGTACTGCTGTAATCTACTATATTGTAGTACAATATAGTGTATTACAGTAGAACATATTACAATATACTATGATATGGTATGATATAGTAAAATGTGGCATAATATGACTGCTTTGAAACTGCTTTGTTCTGGCAGCAGCTAGCTGTACGCTCCTGCGCGGGGTGCATAGGAAGTGGCCAGGTGAGTCACTTGACGCGGGAACTCCGCCATCTCCATTTCATGACAACGCGCGACTGCAACTGAGTGCAACGGCGCTTACCACGCAGCCGGCCCTGCCCGTAGACGACCCGTGTCCACTCAGTCCCATGATCAATGGCCACGGATCGCCGCTTGGCGCTGTGGCACCTGCTTTCCTTGAGCTGCAGTATTAAGGGAGCCCATTACAGGGAGCCTTGGAGATTCGTCATGCGCAGTAATGAGACCTCATAGTCATCACGACAGAAGACGCATCATAATGAGCCCGAAGGAAAGGTCGCAACCATCGTACATCCGGGACGATCCGTGGTTGGCTTTCCCTGACTTCATCGCAAGAGTCAGACAAAATGTCCGATGTCATTGGAAGCTGCGGCACCGTGGAGGTCAGAGCCAGGTGGCTTCGGGTTCTTGACCCCAGCTTGCAATATTTCAGTAGCAGCAGCGGCTTTAGTTCTAATTCTAACAGCAGCAGCTGTCGCAGCCACCGCAGTTCGAAACCTAAAACAAATTAGAAGAAGAGAGGTCGCAATAATGTGCTGGGCAAGGCGTTTGTCAAAGGGTCTTCCCGTTGCTTGTACTTCACTTTGCAACATTCAAGCCAAGCCAAAACCAAACTGGAACCCCCAATGAAGAGAAGCCAAGCGACTCCAACCCCGCAAACCCCGCATTTCCTCCAGCAGCGCTAGCACGATCAAGGGAGTTCTTCTACACAACCGAACAAACAGACAACAAAACATCCAGAATGCGTTTCTTCTCAGATATAGCAGCGGCTCCTTTATGGCCCATGCAGGGCTTGGCTCCAAGGATAAGGCCGCCGCTGCTCTGATCTTTTTGAATGCTGTGGTCATGATGGTGGAGCTGGAGTTGGAAGGAGCCAAACAATGTTAGGTAGGGGGGTATGTGTGGGCTATTTAGGGATAGTGGCAAAAATGGGAACTTGTGCAATCTACGATATTTGTTGGATTATATGGGGCAGCATAAGTTTCCAAGATGGAAGCTACTATGTTATCATAGGATTAGATTGGGGCAGGATGATGAGGAAGAAAATGGAGACTACTATTTACAGCCTACGGCTCACGGATATTCACAGTTGGGCTCGAAGTATTCTGAGAGCTGAGATGTTGACTAAATGGCTAGTTGCCCTGGTGATACGAGTTGTGACATGACATTGGGCTCTAGGAGGAGCTGCTTTGATTGGACAACGTTAACACACAAGACACGACAAGATCAACATAGACTTTAACAGTAACGTGCTCATCAGTTTTCCACTGGCCATTAGCCCGGACAACAAATCAAAGCCGCAGATGTCATGTACTGTTGTGCGCAGATCGGCATCAAATTTTGCAAGTGTACCAATGATCTAGTCATCAAGAGTCTGAAGGGCTAGCGCGCTATAGCGGGCTTGATGTGCAAGTACATACCAGGTTTTGTCCAACAGCAGCCACAGCATCACGCTCATTGGCTCAAGAGGGAAAACATGCAATCGTCTATGTAAGACTATAAGCAAACGGCTGATGAGCGAAGAGCTGATCGGCGCCTGATGTCCCATCAAGAGAGGACGGGAGGCTGCGGACATCCTGGCTGGCAATGCCTCCGACCAGTGCGAATTTATCGCCTGCCGTGGAGGAGCTTGTTTGTCTTTGTGTTGCACGGGTGGATGCAGCTTGAGAAGAACTGCTTGCAGTGTAAATGCGCTCGTGCGGAGACACCAGTCTTGCAGATCGCTCCGCAGGAATCAATTCCTTCCTCCGGCTCTTATCTGGAACATTCGATCTGCTCTTCTTCGTGGAGTGGCGCGGCATTTAGCGAAATTTGCCACAGTTTGAGCTGGCAGTTAGCAGGTGTCAGCTCACATAGAACTACACAGTCCCTTTCAGGCTCTTCCTCTTGCACTAAGCAAGCCTCACGAGCCCACCATTCCATACTCGTGGTAGGATGAGCGGCCTAAAACTGGCTGGCAGCTTAGCATAGATAGATACAGCAGTGCCCAGGCGCCAGAAGAAGACAGAAGTGACACACGACCGACCAAACCGGGGCAACCATCATACACCGAACCTGAAACATGTGCCGGAGCAACAGCCCGGATCAGTCTGCTTGAGCTGCCTCCCTTGTCACGTCATGAGATCTTGCTTTGTCTCTCAAGGCTTTTGGTTCGCATCGGCCTGGAAAGAGCTACTCGGTTCGGCCTGTTCCATGCGATGGCCCCGTCATATACTGCTTCTGTTTGCTCGGTTGTTCTCGCAACATCTTGCAGCTAGATCTCTGCTACTCTTAGGAACTTTGCCGGAGTCTTGCGAGCACTTTCGACACCTTGCTGGCAATTGCCGGGCTGGCAGCTTCGAAGCAAGGAGTAAGATGAGATTGATTGGCGAGCCTAGGAAAGCACATGGTATTAAGCAGACATCGGGATCTCACGCTTTCTTGGAGAGCTGGCATCAACAGAGCTTGTTACATGTCCCCAAGGTGCCCATGGTTCTCGTCGTCATGTTTGAGATCGGGGCGGTCCATGGCGGCATCTTGGTTGCACCTCTGAGACATGGAAGCAACTTGGGCGTATCGGAGTTGACAATGAAGCGCAGGGCTGCGCTCTACAACCAGATAGATGTCGGAACAGCGGTCCTCAAGCAAAATCCATATTTGTAGGGAGTGCCTTTTCGAGCCGTTTCATCAGTGACATATACACCGCCCGGTGTCTTGTTTTTCCTATTTCGCTGGCTATCAGCCCAAATCCCTATAAGCCCGCTATAGATTACAAGTATCCTCATGTTGTCCACCGTCATTTCCATTTTATTCTTTTTTCAGTGTACTATCCATGTTCCCCTTTTTTGGGAAACCCGAAGCCCTATCATGTGAGGTGTAAGCTTGATGTACTTCATTGGGGTCATCAGAGCCCTGCGAGCGATTCGGCTCCTTCGGATCCTCCGCTTTTGCCGTGGCCTTCAGGTGTTTCTGTCGGCCTGTGCCTTGACTCCAGAAAAACTTGCGGAGGGTTACTCGGAAGGGAGGGGACTATTGGTGCTATATTGAATATCGGGATAATGGAAAGAAAATGGAAACTGCTATTTAAGAACAGGGTATGTATCTAGGTTATAGTAGGGAATAAAAAAATATTAGAGGGGCTTGTCAGGGCTTGTATTCTCTTCTTATTCGCTACTAACCACCAGAAAGAAAAGGACAGCCATGTCCGTATAATGGATTTCGGTGGCATCAGAAGTCCTAAGGTGTGATTGCACACACAAACTCTGCGACTTGTGCGACGCGTAAGTTTTCAAACAACGGCCGCTGCATTTCTTAGGCAGAATGCCTACTTCAAAGGAATTCGCATCGTAGGCCTATTCATTCTCGTCCTCCACTCAAAAATCGCACGTGGCTGTTACCTTTTGGCCCAAAGCCAGCATGCCTGCCAGTATGCTAGAACAACAGGTGAACTTCTACCCAAAGCGCGTGGAACCTAGCCTTCATTGTGTTTGCCTTCTGTGTACTGCCTCGCCTTGATTGCAAGCACAGCAGCCAATGTTACTTCCTAAGTGAATTGTGCAGCTATTGCGATATGAAGATGGTGCTGACAGGTCAGACTTGGTACTGTGTTTTGTTTGGGCGGTATTGGACTCCATAAGGTTGAAAACGTGCCTGCATCTAATTTGGGTGGTTTTCTGTCGGGATTTTAGGCCGCGCGCAACCATGACAATAATCCCTGTGCCCGGTTATGTTGATAGTCATCCATATGTAATGTTGAGCTTTGCTGGGTTGAAGTCTTGCAAGATGGCAGCTATAACTCATCCAAAACCTCAGCGCAAGGATGTCGATTACATGTTTGTGATTTGCGATGGTCCAGACTTACTACTTCCACTTGGACTGACAGCGAAACACTTCGAGTGTACATGTCCACATGAAGCGCAAAGAGTGCGCAAAGTTCAAATAAGCAATCTCCGGTTCAACGAGCTTGTGCAACCTAATCCCCAATGATTTTGAGTATCACGGTGGAATGTACAAGATGTAGCACTAAAGTCTGCATCCATAGATGTTATGCACAGTCTGTGGCAAAGGCAAGACATTCCTGTCTTCATTGGTCTGGGCAGTGGTATTGTTGGCGATCTTTGTGTCCTCATCAGCCTTGATCGTGGGCAATATGCTGCAGCATTACATCAGGAATCCTTTACAGAGTGTGGAATCGCGGACTTGGATCTGGGAACATTATGGCACTGCTTACAATGCGGTGTACACATTATTCGAAGTGACTTTTGCTGGGAAGCTTCTGATGCAGTTTATACAGGTTTTGGGCGTAAGCAGTAGAGTATGGCGTTTTTGGGTTTGGACTCCACACGTGCAAGGAACTGGCCTACGAATGTACGTCCAGTCTTGGACGACGTGAGCAAGCTGTATGTTCTCTTTTTCGGTGGATACATCCTGATTGTTGTTTTCGCGCTCATTCGCGTCATCACTGCGATTCTGATTAAGGATACAAGGATGCATTTTGTTCAGCTTTATTGTTTGCGCCTCTGACTCTGTTGTTTGCTGCTGCTTTCTGGGTTCCATTCTCAGCCTCCACATTGTCGTTGGCTTTAGTTGTTTTGCTTGAGGTTCCTTGCTTGCCGCTTCCTGCTCGCAGCTTCCTGCTTCCTGCTTTCTGTTTAATTGGCTTGTTCTGGCAGTGAATTCTTAAGCTAATTTATTTGGCACAGCCGCAACTACGCGTAGTATTTCTGCCAAAATTGCCGTTACTGTTTTGCTGCTATCATTATTGTTCTGCTAGTGCTGTGCCAGTGTTACCATTACTTGGATAGCGGTTACTGCAATCGCTATTATCATTGTTACAACTACCATTCTCCTTGGTACTGTGACATCAGTATCATTCTGTTTGGAGTATCACTGTCACAATTGCAGCGAAATTTAGATGTTACTGCTAATTAGAGCCATCATCACCAAAATGCTGTTGTTATTCGTGTTATGCTCAGTACCTTTAATGCCAGTCTTGTTATGACTAGTACTAGTACTACTAGTACCACTATTAGTATTACTATTATTATCATTACTACTGCCGCTGCTGCTGCTACGTCTATTGCTAATATTGCTGTTGTTAGCAATGTTATTGGCAAACTGTGCTAATGTTCTTTTTGTTTTTTTGTTGCTGCTGATGCTGTTCTTGCTGTTGTCATTGTGCGTGCTACCGCTACAGCCGCCAGCGCCATTCTAGCTGCCTACTGCTAGCATTGATATATATATATACATATA